CCCTGGAAAAGCTCCAGCAGGAGCTGTGGGAACTTCCCTGGTCCATATCCCGTCGCTGTTTCCATGTATCCTAATGGCTTCCTGTGGCTGTCCGTCTGACAGCATTGTCTGGCCACAGCCACGTGGGTGGTTCACACAAGGGCAAGGTCAAGAGCGTCAGGGAATCAACACGCGGGTGGAAATAGCCCTCTACAATGATGGCGTGGAAACTGATGGAGAAATGTGACAACTTGCTCACTTTTCAAATGGGACAGCTGGGGGTCCTGTCCACCTCTCCCACAGCGGTAACCCGCTCATCAACATACCCTGAACTGGCTTCTTCCCTTTCCTGTTTTATATTCCCCTCCCCTCTCCTCCCCCAAGCTTTCCTTCTTGGGATCCTTGTTTCTTTTTTTTAAATTTTTTTTTCAACGTTTTTTATTTATTTTTGGGACAGAGAGAGACAGAGCATGAATGGGGGAGGGGCAGAGAGAGAGGGAGACACAGAATGGGAAGCAGGCTCCAGGCTCTGAGCCATCAGCCCAGAGCCCGACGCGGGGCTCGAACTCACGGACCGCGAGATCGTGACCTGGCTGAAGTCGGACGCTTAACCGACTGCGCCACCCAGGCGCCCCGGGATCCTTGTTTCATCGTCTGATTCTGGAGGACCCGAACCAGGGCAGCGGCAATCGAGGTACTTGATGTCTAACTGAGACCCACACTTTGACCCATCTCATATCCCTCTTCCCGCTGAACCCCGCCTTTACTCTTGGTAATCACCTCCGTGCCCCAACTTTCATGCCACACCACCACACATCCTCGTTCCTTTCCACAGAAATCCAAGATTATCGAGCGGCATCCAAGACCTCCAAACCTGGTACCGACTTCCCATCATGCCATTCTCCTGTTCCACTCCATCCCCATGTGTGCATTTCAGGTACATTCTTCTCTCTACTCCTCAATATGCCCTCAAAAGTCCTTACCTCTTTGCTTCTACACACATTTCCCTACGCCCCCAAACGGCTTTTGAAAGGTTTACCTCCATTACCACCCAAACCTCATTCACGACGCTGAAAGGAATTTTGTTTCCGGCCGCTTGACCTCTTCCCCGTTCTCAGAGTTGTAAGTGAAGATGTGGGTTTTAGTTTAGATTCCGGTTTTTGTTGCTGGAACTGTGTTTAAATGTGACAGTGCACCAACACTGGCTAAGTGAGACCACGAGATTTATACGGAGTACATGAACATTAAGTAGGAATATATGAGAAAACTCTTCGTGGAGACACTTTGAGAGAATTTTACTGACAAGGCGAGTAACTTTCTACTTTGTAAATTCAGGTTTAGGTATGTGGCATTTTATTGACATGGAGCTTGGCTCTGTTTTTTTGGCTTACTGCTGAGAATACCTTAAACATACTAAAGCCTCCCTAATCATGAATTCCTCTTTCATGAAATCTTAGCCTTGGGGATTTAATTTGTGTATCTCTTTGGTAACCTTGAAGATATTGGATCATGAAAATGAAAGTGGTTGAGATGTGTGAGTTTTAAAATCAGTACTTGAGGGGTGGTTCAGTCGGTTGAGCATCCGACTTCAGCTCAGGTCACGATCTCATGGTTCGTGAGTTCGAGCCCCACATCAGGCTCTGTGCTGACAGCTCAGTGCCTGGAGCCTGTTTTGGATTCTGTGTCTCCCTCTCTCCCTGCCCCTCCCCTGCTTGCACTTTGTCTCTGTCTCTCTCAAAAAACGAGTAAAAACATTACTTTTTCTAAAAAAAAAAAAATCACTAACTCACTGAATATTTCATTGGAGGACCAGAAAAAAAAAATGCTTCTTGATATGCATAGTATTTGCTGCAAAGCAAAACAAATTTACAAGCATGTTCTTGAAATCAGAGGAAACAATACCTGAAGAGTTTCTGGGGAACAAAGGCTGGTAATTTGAAATGCATCCTATCTCACCCTTATTTAAGCCAAGAAGCATGATACGGTGGTTAAAATCATGGATTCTAGCTTGGATTGAAATCCTGGCCCCACAACTTACTAGCTGTGTGATCTTGGGCAAGTGCAAAATCTTAATCTTCACTTTTGTCACCTATGGAATGGGTGTAATGATAAACCCTACCTGTCCGGGCCCTTGGGAGTTATTATATATGTTACTTAATTATGATTTTTATCTATACAGCTTTCTTAACAGCATATAGTAGGTGCCTTATAAATGCCATTATAACTATTGCCATTATTATTATATGATGTCTTGGACAGTTCTTTTCTTTAGTGGTTTTACTTTCTTGCTTGAGGGAACTTGAATGTTTTTTCTTTAAAAAAAAAAGCCTTTAGCTCGTCTTATTTTGACTCCTGTTTTCTCTATACAGTCTTTAGTTTCTCATTTGAAGATTCTTCTGTCACATATTTTTAATTTCTTTTTCTTTTTTGGTCACCCACTCCTTACATTTTAATAGTGGCGATGTTTTCCCAACAGCCATGGATGTGGGGTCACTGACGCCAGGCTAGGTTATGCTATGCTGAATACTTTATTATATATTTTATGTAAACATAATTTGCTTTGTAGGCACAATGTAACGAAAGCTCTAAAGCCACAAATACATTAGACAATGTTTCAGTTCACTCCAATCAAGTTTAGATGACAGAGAAGCCTTCACAGTTCCTTTAAGGCAAACTGAGACTTTCTTTACATTTCCTTCAGAAAACCAATCACGTGACAGGAAGAAGGTGCTTAAAAAACGAGGGTGCATTAAAGGGTTAATTTTGGTATTTATCCTGTTCTTCAGGGCACAACCTGACCTTGATAGTGAGACTCTAGTTTTCCTTCTCACTCTGTATTCCGAGGAGCCAAAAGGGTTTCTTCTTTAACCTACGGCCATAATTTGACTGTATTAATCTTGCTAGTTGAAAAACAGATTTGGGGAAGCATGATTTTTTTTTTAAATGCCTCTCCTCTGGACAGAACAAAGGCCGGTGGTGGGACTCTGCGAAGAGAGTTCTCGCCCCCCTCGCAGAGGACAGCCCTGATGTGGCCGGTGGCTCTTTGTTACCCCAGCCCTAGAAAATGCCATTTCTGTCCAGCTCACCAGGAATGTCACTTGGGTGGTTCTCCTTAAAACCTCATTGTCAGCTTGGTTATGGGAGAAACACGACCAATAATACAGCATTTAGCGAAAGTTTTGGGGGTGGGGAGATAAACCTCCACATTATCTTTCTACGTGGCCCAGAAATGAAACGCCGGTGAGTCTTGGGGTATGAACAGAAGATGTCAGTGTCTTCTGAGATACTGTCACCTCCCTGCTCATCAGATGGCGGCACCCTTTTTTGCCTTCATATTTTACAAGTACATTCACAACGAGGAGAAACTCCCTTCAGATAAATATTTGGCATAAATAAGTCATCATCACAAGCTTGGGGTAGGAAAAAAAAAGAATGTGATTAATGAGGTGACATTTGTTACAAAAGGACTTTGGAAATGAAAAGGTAATTGCTGGAATGCATTCATTCCCATCATTTGGGGAAAGAGTTGGGTCGACCCTAAGGCTCACTGGTGGAGAGGTGGGGCAAGGTGGGAGCCCTCCAAGGTCTTCCAGAAAGCAAAGTGACTTGGGGGGGGGGGTTGCTAATAGTGTGGGCTCCATGTGTCTCCAGCTTGGTTTGTGAATGAAGGAGTCACCCTTTGAGCCAGAAGGAGTAGGAGCAGTGAATGAGGAGCCCCCTTGTGGAGACACTGAGACTCTTCCTCATCCATCAGGGGAAAGGTTCGCCTCAAGGCATGTCAAGTATGGTGGGGCTGGGTGTGGGGTTTCCTAGGAGTTTAGGAGCTGGAAAATCGGACAAGGGTGTGCAATCAAGTAGTTTGGTCCCCGATTACCAAAAAGCAGGGGCCCTACAAAGAGTCTGCACCGTAATTTTATATTTCAGAGGAGAGGAACTGCACTCTTGGCATCAGATACTGAACGTCAACCGTTTGTATCGCTAGAGTTTGTTACATGTCGGAACATGCTTTGGCAAGAAAAGAGACACTCACTGATTTTCTTTTTCCCCAAATATGGTCTACAAGGGAGGTCTTCCCCGGGGGATCCTTGGTAAAGGTAGCTGCTCACTACCAGGAACTGGAAATAGCAAAATCGGTAATGCCCGTGGCAGGTGTGCAAATGTAGGCAAATCTCGGTAATGACCTCTGAAATAGTCCCACACGTGGTGAGTTTTCTTACAATTGAAATAAAATGTACGTGGTGGGGGAGGGGAGGATTTTGCTCATGAGACATGGTTTCAGAGGAGAAGTCTCTGTGGCTGGTCCTCAAACTCATGCTGTTGACCCATCCTCTATCCTGAAAACTCCACGTCTGTTTTCCTGTGTTGATGGTTAAGAACCAGTGAAGGGATCAAGCATCAGAGGCTGAGAGGAGAGTGGTTCAACCTCTGGACCATTAAACAACTCGATGCATGTAAGGAAGTTGCCTCTTGAACGGGGAGAGGGAAAGGATTGTTTGGAGAGATCCTAAATGTATGGGCTCATGAAAACACCTCCCGGCCTACCCTCTTTCTGCCAGCCACATTGGCAAGCGCTCTTGTCAGAATCATGGGTGGCTGGAGGCAAAAAGTGTCACTGGCCTGAAGCTTCCCAGGATCTGGACGCTGCTCTTAAGATAACACCCTTCAGTCGAAACTTGTCTTTGCCCACATCTGGTCTTGTAGGCACTGGGCCTGAGGGCTTGTATTAATTTGCAAGGCTGTTCTAAGAACTGTCAAGAAGGACCCAAAGATGGATGGTTGTGAAGGAGGGGAGAGGGGAGAGAGTAACACACAGGTGGGGGAGGGACTTAATACTGCGTGGGATGGGATTGGCACTTAATTTCAAAAACAACAGTGATCAACAGCTTTTTAGCTCAGCTGACTGCAGACAAACACAACACACAGTGGGCTACAGCATTTGTTCACTGGGGCACAGAAGAACTTTCTCCACCGGCTCCTCTTGTTCCAAATCATCCTCCGTGTTCTCCTGCCAGGGTCCTGGGTTACTGGATGAAGGGCATCCGTTCCTTGTTCTCGCTGTCGCCCTCGTGGTCCTCCTCCTCTTCCCCCGCCTCGCTGGTCTCTGTGCTGTCGTTGGCCATCTGCAATTCAACACAGGGCGTTTTAGAAGGTCTGCGATGTCTCCTCCCTTCCTGGAGCATCTGAGGAAGCCCCTTGGGAAGGCCTCCTTCCGAGGGCTAAGAGTTAGGGTTGTTTCCTTCCCCAGGAGGGCAGTGTGGTGCCGCCTGTTTTAGGGTGGGGGCCCTGACGTAAGGATCTGAGCGCAAGGATTGGGAATTTGGGAGATGATTCCAAGGAAGCGCTGGTAGGGAGGAAGGAGACGAGACAGAAAAGGCAAGGGAACCTAATAAGTAGGCTCCTGATGTGGGCAACTGGGGCTCAGTCCTCTTGGGGACCACTGGGAGACAGTGAGGGGCATGCCCCTCACAGGTGTCCCGCATATTGGGGGGGGGGGAGGAAGCCAAGGAATGGCCAAGGTGGGTATCTCCCTGGCCTCTCTGGCCAGTTCTGTACGTGCTGGCCACACATGCTTCTGGGGCTGGAGACTCTCAGTCAGAGGGGCCAGGTGCTGGGGGACGCCCTTAGGCACTGAGAGCGTCCACTGCACGGACTGGCTGGGGTTGAAATCCTGGTGCTGTCACTCCCTAAGAAGCCAGAACAACCATACTAACAAATGTGCATTCGTGTCCTTTATTGTCTACACAGAACACCGTGTCCACGAATGTGGACTTTGGTTCTAGCAAGCTAGCCATCATCACCAGTCCCTGGCATGGTTATTATCCCTCTCTGAGCCTCCCTTTTGCGGATGGTTACAACGGGAAAAAACCCACCTGCCTTACAATGCTATCATGACGACCAAGTGAAACAAAGTAACATGATGTACTTGAAGCGTCCAGCAACGGGCCGAGCGCATGAAGGATGCTCAAGACATCCTAGTCCTGTCCATCAGCAGCCCCCTTAGCGAACTGGGCCTCAGATTTCCACTCCTAAGCCCCAATCGACGTCATTTGCCCTGAAGCCCAGATCTCCTAAACCCGAGTCTTTGCCTATGCCCACCACTCATTCTTTCAAACAGGAATTGGGCCCACCGTCCTCGGGCCTCCCCGCGTTGCCTGTCCTGGAGCTGGATTTGCCCTCTTGGCCGCAGGCAGTGTCTTCTTCCTGCAATGCCAGCCCGCCACTCCCTCCCCTAACTGGTGCCTACTTTGCTTTCAGCGCTCAGCCCGCTTCCTCAAGGAAGCCTTCCCAGACTACCCTAACTGGAACGGTCCCCCCCCCCCCCCCCCCCCATGACCAGCTCTTCTTTGTAGCACAGATCAGCAGCGTCCCATCTGGACGGATGGCCTCTTGACAGCCATCCACCTGCCCCGCCACGGGAAGCGCAGACACCGTGGAAGATGACCAGGTCTCCTCTTGTCTTCCTGTGTTATCCTCTGCAACTAGCACAGGGCCTGGCACGCAGGAGCGTAGAGTACGAACTCTGAGAATAGCGAGCGAATAATCGTGAGAGCTCTGGGGGCGCCTGGCTGGCTCCGTCGGTTAAGCATCCGGCTTCATCTCCGGTCATGATCTCGCGGTTCGTGAGTTCGAGCCCCGGGTCGGGCTCTGTCTCTCTCTCTCTCTCTCTCTCTCTCTCTCTCAAAAACAAATAAACATCGACAAAAATAATCACGAGAGCTCTGCCTTCTTAGTATGTACCCCACATTCACTAGTGTGCCAGGGGATCAGGCACATTACCCCTTTCCATCTTCTCAACAAGAAGCAGCAGAAACAGTAACTACTGCCCCCTGTGCAAGGTGGGCAGGCTCTGTTTTCCCGCAGCGCGCAGGGACACCCAGAGGTGACGTGCCCGGGGCAGTGGCGGGGCGGCAGAGGTCGGCAGGCTTCAGAGAAGGCTGCCACTGTTCTCAGGGGCGCCGGTCAGGCCGGGGCCAGAGCTGCGCCCCGACGCCGTGGGGTCCGGAGGAAGCAGCCCGGTCTCTGCTGGGACCCTGGGACCTGTCCTCAGGTGAGCTCAGCTCCGCCCTGGCTCAGCCTCATTGAGGGAAGGCCCCACGCAGGAGAGCCTTCACTCTTGGCAGGCACTTCGTAGGCACTCCTGGCAAAGGCACTTCCAGAGCGCTGCCCGAGCCCCTCGTGGCCCCGATAGTTCCTGGAGGAGGGGGAGTACCGTGCAGTGTACTCAGCAAGGCAGATTCAGGGCTCTTGGCTTGGCCTGAGCTCTGAAAGTGGCCCTTCTAATAGAAGAAGGCCCCTCTGTAGGCCCCGCACTGCCCCCACCCCCAACAGCTGCCCAGTGGGAAATGATGCGTTCCCAAGGGGCCTTGACCCCGTGCCATTTCCTTTCGTTAGGCGCTTGCCGTAGAAAAGATTCGCCGGACCCATCTTGGCTGTCACGATGTCCTCTGTTTATTTAGCCTGACTACACGCTCCTCCTCCTTCAGGTCTCGTCTCTATCCAGGCAGGCCGTGGCCTTCTCCCCGCAGAGGCCTTCCAAACACCACAGATCTGAGTTGGCCACTCACCACATCTCTTTGTTTCTTTCGGTCCTAAGGTAGAAGTCCTCCTGAGTGAGATTCAGGAACCAGCAGCATGGCAGGTCCTGAGGTCTCACCTTCAAAGTTGGGCTTTTCAGCCCAACTGGTGAGAATCCTCTGTGGTCAAACTGGCCTTCCCAAAGTCCAGGGGCCCAGCGGGACCTCCTGTGTAACAGTCACAGGCAGGAAGCTGATGTCAACTATCTTGCTTAAAACAAACTGTCCAGGATGGTTCTAGATCCCCTCTACTGATGGGGTAAAACAGACCTGGTCATGTGTCTTAAGAACAACAGAAGTGCACAGAAGACCCAAGAGCCCAGCCCTCACCTCCTCCCTAGCCTCAACCCCTCATCTGCCTTCAGATACTTGCTGTCACACCCCTAGAACTTCATAAGCACTTAACATACGATGTCCCTATACTTGTTGGTCATTTGCACTTTGTGAAATGCCCTCTCATGAAATCACCCTTCATTGAGTGAAATGACCATCCTTCCCGAACTACATTAGGGTTACAAAAGCCAAGGTACACTTACAAAAAAAAAAAATACACACTAAAACATGCAAAGATTTTAGTTCTTTTTTCTTTTATAAATGCCCGATGCAGGTTCAAGACTCAACGGGTGAGAAAGCGAAGAAACAAAAAACCCCAAGTATTTTCGCTGTTAATCCTTTCCCAGAACTTAGTATGCATGGGACAATGCCTTATGTGTATCACTCTAATTGACTTGTGAGAACTTCGTTTGCAGACAGGGCTACTGAAGATAGACAGGCGGGATAATCGCCCAGGGTCACACACAGGAGAGGAGAGCCAGGCTCTGAATCCACGCAGTCTGACGGCGCTCTGTGTGTCGACCGCACACTACATTGCCCCCTCCCACCATCGGTGGCCCCAGCAAGCAGGTTGGGGAGTGACTTTGACACGCTTCACTCCTGGAGGGATCCCTGGACGTAAGGGTACCCTCAGGAGGCATCTCGGAGGCAGGTGGCATCCTTCTGTTGATAATGTGCGTGACTCTATTAGATTTTACCAGGAATTCCTCTCACCTGTGGCAACCAAGAGGCAGCACCTGTGATAGGCAGGTTATCCCTATCTTTCCTGACTGCCCTTAGATTGCTCTTGAAATGCTCGCACTGAAGCATTTCCTTTCCTTCTCAGCACGCATCCCAGCGGTGTGACTAATTGTCCATTTGCATGGTTGTTTGATTACACAGGTCTCCTCCGCGAGCCAGAGAGCCGCCTGTATTTCCCTCTCCCCCACCTGTGCCTGCGTCTGATAGACCCTGTCGTGCTGAACTGAACGGATCCCTCTGCGTTTGACTCACCAGTGGAGTCGGGGTCTTCTCTACATCCAGAATTAACTTGCCGATGTTTCCTCGGTCGTGGATCCGCTGCATGGCCTCCTTCACCTGAGCCAGGAGAAAAACGGAAGCGCTGATTGGGTGAGAAGTTGCCCAGGTGGAAAAGCCAAACCAGCCGCCGCCCATGTGGGGGCGCTGTGGTTCAAGGTTAGCAGCCAAGCCAGAGATGCTTTGGGACCCTGGGTGGAAATAAATTCTGATTGTGTCACTCAGGCACTCTGAGCTTGTGCAAGCAACTTGGTCCTCTGGGTCTAAGAAATGAAAGTGACAGTCCTTGTAATAAGACGACGAAATTTTCTTTAAAAGTTGGGGAGGGGGGGAGTTGGTGGGGAGGAGGGTACCGTGAGGTTCCAAGAAAGACATCAGTCAGAGTAAATTCTGACCGGTAAAATTATTTTTCTCAGAGTCACTTGTGCCCTGCTTACCAAAGTGTTCTATAACTCTGATTCGTAGTTTAACTAAAATGATCCATTGCCCAAGCTAAACTATATTCAGGAAAATTCCCTTAGGTTACTCCTGGTTATTGCGTGGAAATTTTGTTTCTACGTAAGTAGAGTTTTCTCCAGAACTAGTATTCTGTCCGGAGAAGAGGACCTACTTTTCCTTTCAAATGATACGGGCTTACTTAAAAAGCAAGCGTGTGCCCTGATCTGATTTATGCTTTGAGCATTTCACTCTCTGGCTGTGCGGAAAATGAGCTGTAGGGGGCGCTGGTGAGGATTAAATGAGATAAGCAAAGGGCAACCATGCCCAGTGCCTGGCATGAATAGGCCCTCCACATTTCTTAGTGAAATCTAAATGGAAATACAACATCTCTTGATTTAAAAAAAAAGTTACAAGAGATCTGGCCTAAATATTTTTTCCTAAAGTCTCAGATTTTTAAATATTTTTGTTCACTCATTCAAGTCCACAAGTATTCATGAAATGTCCTTATAGGCTACATGCCATAGTTTTTATTTGTTTGTTTGTTTGTTTTTGTTTTTGTTTTTAGTTTAAAGTAAGCTGAGATTTCTGTCTTTGAGGAAACCTGTCTTCCCGTTTGGATAAAAACCTGAGCCGTTAAAATGTGCATACTCTAATTGCTTTTCTGGGACTTAGCCTAAAGACATAATTCAAATTGTGGGGGGAAAAAACTTACCACACAAAAGATACTCAATCACAGCATTGCTTTTAACCGTGAAACACTTGCAGCCACTTCTGTATCACAGAGTAAAGGAATGGTTAAGTAAACCACGACTCTTAGATTTAGCTACAGAATGGAAATACTATGTTGCTATTAAGCTGCTAATTACAAGGAAAGTACAGCAGGGTCAAATGCCTTTGTAATGGTGCTAAATGAGAAAATCGAGATGAATATTTTTACTTACATCCCCATAAAAACGTGGACATCCTAAAATAATCAGAAAGGGGTTCAGACATGATAAAACATTAGGAGAAATGAGTGCGTTTTAACTCCAAACATTGTTACTTGGCAATATGTTGTCAAATCAGTATGTAACGTAAGTTAAATGCATATTTAAACGTAGTCTTTGGAAAACCTAGTATCGGTTAGAATCAGCCCTTTTATAGACTGGTAGTGTCATGTGATTAAATTTCCTCACCCTGATACACATCCAGTAGATTTCTTTTATTTCTGTGGTGAACACTGCTTTTCAAAATGCTGTCATGTCTGGTCATCACGACTATATACCGAGAATGTTTAAATACCGTGGCAGACAGCCTCCAGAATGGTTCCCAACCTTCCTTTCCCCCTGACACACACCCTTTCTCCCTCGAATGTGGGCCAAACCTGCTGACTTGCTTCTGACCGTTGGAAAACAGCGAAAGTGATGGGATGTCACCTCCAAGATTAGGTTATAAAAGACTGATTTCTGTCTTGTCATCTCTTCCTCTGACTCTTCGTGCCTTCTTGCTCTGGTGACACAAGCTGCCCTGTTGTAAGCTGCCCTAGGGAGAGGCTCACACGGCAGGGAAGTGAGGCAGACCTCCCACCGACAACCACTAACGAACTGATACCCTCGGTCCAAAAGCCCATGGGGAACTAGCTCCTGTCAACAACCAATGAGAGAGCTCAGAAGTAGATCCTTCCTGAGTTAAGCCTAGAAGTGAGAACGCAGCCCTGGCTGACACCTTGGGAGACCCTGAGCCCAAGGACCTAGCTAAACCATGCCCAGGTTCCTCACCCACGTAAAGTGAGATCACAAATATTGTTTTAAGCCAATAAGTTCTGGGGACATTTTGTTATGCAGCAATAGATAACTAACATTCTTTCCTTTCATACATAGTTGTTACCTTGTAAGATATATGTCATACCCATGTTACAGCTAAGTACCTTGATGCTCAAAGATCAAAGCAATCTGTCCAAAGACTATGTGGCTATCAGTGACAGAACTGTGGTTCAAACTCAGGTTTGTCAGACTTCAAAACTGATGCTTCCTCCCCCTGCCCCCCGCCCCCGTTCCACCCAGACTGTGTTGTTTCATTTGATTCTCAAAGGCAGAGGAAGGTGGTAGGTAACATCTCACATAATGATTTCCCAGAATTCAGTTGTTTATTACCCTGACAAGTCATTAAGCACCTGGAAACTCCTTGGAGACTCGGAAGAATTTTTGTGCCATTTCTCCAGTAAGATAGAGCCCAGGGACACTGAAAAGCTGTTTTCTTTCCAGTTAAAGCTTATTGTGATACTAGAAAACAGCCCCCCGAAGGGCTGGCTCTAATCTGCATATTTTTTTTGGACAATTTCCTTCTGAAATGAACTGACTCCTTGAAGTTCCTTTTGAAGGGGATAGAGAAAGGGTTGGGAATGTTTCTGAGACATAACTGAACTAGTCTGATCCCCAGTCATGCTGTTTGAGTTTAACATCCTCTTAGGCTGCTCTTGGAGATGTGAAAGAGCCCTTTTGATGACAGCGTAGAAGGAAAGAAATGGCCATTTTCTGATCAATTTTTTATCAGGTGAGGCACTTTACACACGTTGCTTCCTTTTATCTGCACACCACGGGTTCACAGATGAGAAACCTAAAGGTGAAAAATCTAAGGAATCTGTCCCCGGTCACCCACTGAAAGGAGTTCGAACCACTTGGGAACTGAGAGAGCAGTTACCCCTTTACAGGACTCTGGACAAAAGCCAGGACAGGGCTCTGCTGTCTGCACCCCGAAACCGCCCTCACATAACTCCATCACGAGGTAAAGTCTGCAAAAAGAGACTTTGCTCCCAAAATACCAGTTCGTAAATTGAGAGATATATGTTATACCCGTTTTACAGCTAAGTACCTTGATGCTCAAAGATCGGTAGGTGACAGTGACCTTGGTAGGTGACAGTGACCAAAAGATGGTGGTGACAACTCCCAGAGAGCTCCTTGTCTCTCTTGTGGCTACCATTTTTGTTTTTTGTTTTTTTCCTAAGGGACACTTCTGCTCCAAACCTTTTCCCAGCGCACTTGATGATGGGAAAATCCTAGTAGCCCCGCACTGCCTAATGCAGTAGCCACAAGTCACATGTGGCACTGAGCACCTGAACTGGGGCCAGCACAGACTTCGATGTGCTGTGCGTGTAAGCCACGCGGCCAACTTCAAAGACGAGAGCAGATACACTATCTCGTTACGAATTGTTGACATCAATCACGTGGTGAAACGTTAACATGATAAATACGCTGGCTTAAATAAAACAGACTACTAAAGTTAACCTGCCCCACTTTTTACTTCTCTGGATGTGGCTACTACAAAACTGAAAACGTGGCTTGTGGCTCACATAGTCATCCTGCTGGACAACACTGGACTGACTTCTCAGGAAGTCAGTCCTTTCCTGTGTCACTACTTTGTCTTACACCTCCCTCACTCCTGCCACTGGACGCTTATCTGGAGGTTCCTGGGCTTCTCAGCTTTGTGCCTCTGTATACACGGGGTTCCTTCCTGGACTTTCCTGGTCCCGGAGCTAACTTGGATTTGTTCTGGGGCTCTTGTTCTCGATGTGGACCCTTCTAGGAAGCTGCTATTCCCCCGCCCCCACTCTGGCATTTGGGGCCAAGTCTCCTTTGGGCTCCCTGGGCACCTCAGGCCAGCTATAACATCACCCTTACCCCCAGCTTGGAACTTGGCCCTTCTTCTCTCCAGTACGTTAGGCCAGCGCCGTGCAGTGGAGATACGAAGCGGGCTACAAATACACTAAAATTTCTCTAGTTACTCACATTAACAAATGTAAAAAGGAACTGGTAAAATCAATTTAAAGAATATATTTTCTTTGACCAAACCTACCCAAAATATTATCACTTCAGTATATGCTCCACATAATAAGGTCTTCATGAGATATTTTATGCTCCTTCCTCCTTTCGTACTATACGTGTCTGGAATCCAGGGTGTATTTTGTTCTTACAGCGTGTTTCAATTCAGATGAGCCATGCTTCATGTGCCCAGTGGCTGCACATGGCTCATGTCTACCGTATTGGGGAGTGCGGCTCTAGATGGTGGGACAGTGGCACCAACCTCAGGGACCCCAGTGCACGGGTGCATTGGGCATATGATAGCCTCCAGGATGAACGGATGGATGAATAAGCAAGTGGTATGTGGAGCGAGTGAGAGGTCACGTGAGTGAGCCACACGAGAGGTTTCTGTCTCACGTGACGCTCATCTCGGAGCCCTCGGCCCAGGCCCAGGGGGCCTGCTCAGTGCTGCCCGGGTGTCCCAGTGGAGTCTGTTTGTAATCAGGGCCGTGGCCTCTCGCACCCAGTCTGAGAAGCCACCGCCAGCTGTGCGGCTGGCCAAGTCTGGTCTTGGCAGCTGGAATGTCCCGGGCTCGGGATTCAGGGCATACTCAGGCTATCTCAGCCAGAGCTGGTCTCCCCTCCAGACAGTGGGAGGAAATTTGAGTCATATGATTAAAACACCTCAAGATGCCGAGATCCTGAGCACAGAGGCTACCTGAGCTTTTCTGATACTTCTTTCCTGTCCCTGGGAGGCCACCTTGGTACCATCCCAAGTGGATGGCGGCAGGCGGCAGTGAGATCATCACTGAGTCCTACGCTCTGCTTCGCTGTCACTCCAGCAAG